GAGGCAGTGGGAGAGACACCAAGGAAGTGGGGGGACTCTGCATCACTGGGGGTGTCAAGGAGAGGATGGGCAGACACTGGTCGAGGATGGTCTAGGTGCAGCGATGCCTGTGCAATACTATGGGGATTCTCCAGGCTGCTGGTTCATGCATGGGGGGGAGGGAATTTATGCCTTGCACCACCAAGGTGTTGGCCGCAGCCCAGGCTGGGGATGGGGGATGCGGATGGGGACTGGGCTGTGCCAAAGGTCTTGCTGGGACCAATCCTGCAGGGTCCTGGCTAGAGGGTCTTGCCCTTCCACTCAGTCAGACCGACTGCCATATTTAGGGTCAGGAAGGAATTATGCCCCCATGGTCAGATTGGCACAGACTGGAGGGTTGAGTTTTGTCTTCCTCTGTACTAAGGGATGTGGCCCATTACCTGGGGGCTCTTGAGCGTACATTAACAACCTTTTACAGAAGCAGGATTTTGGCAGCCACGGTCCCCCTGCTTTCCCTGGGGCAGGGGTAGGGGTGATGCCTGGTGCTGTGTTGAGTGGGGCAGTATCATTTTGCAAAGAGGTTGGACACTGGGCTGGTTTGCACAGGGCTGATCCTGCCTTGGGCAGGGGTTGGGCCGGATGTGACCTCTGCAGCTCTCTAGCCCCACTTCTTCAGGAGTCTGTGAGCTTTGAGCTGGGCCCTGAGGTTGGGACACAGGGCCCCAGTGGGGTGACCCTATTACTGATGCATGGTGCTGGTATCAGCCTAATGGGTCAGTCCATACTGAGCACAGAAACCCCTTCCCCCCCCCTCCTTCTGGCCCCCCACCAGCAGGACCAGAAAACCACCTACCTGGCCAATGCCGCAGGTGAAGGAGGTGCTTTGAAGGGCTGCAGGTAACAGGATACGGCCCCAATCCCTCTGAGGCTGCTACGGTCAAATGTGACCATCCGCTGTCTGCCAAGGGGGCTGATTTCCACAGCACTGGGCAGGACCAGCACCGACAGGGCCAGGTGTCCATAGCTCAAAGCCCGTAGCCGCATGGGCACTAATTGTCCTCATTAACAGGCTTAGCAGCGGGAGCAGGGACTTCTCCCCCACCCCCAGGGCAGGGCTCTGGGGTAGCACCTTATGCCTTAGCTGCAACATCGGGCTAGCAATGATATTTGGCCCTGGGACCTGAGTCTGCACTCCCCTACCTCTGCCAGGTGCCGTAGCAGCCTTTCTGCTCCATGGTGCATGCAGGGCAGGGAGCTGCTTGCAGCAGCTTTGCTCCTGGGGCTGCCAGGCTCCAGGCCAGGGAAGGGACATGGAGGGCCAGGGAAGCCAGGTCTCTACCTGGTGTTCCTGGTGCCAGGCTCCCTGCTAAGTGAGATGGATGCCCATGTCTGGATCAGTGGCTCCAACGGGCTCAGCTCCCAGCCCCAGGGCAGGACGTCTAGGAGCCCAAGCAGAGTTGGGGCATCGGGGCTGCCCACAGTGGCTCTGCCAGGCTGGGAGTCGGGCAGCCCCAGGACGGGCTGCATGGGGGGGTCTGAGGCTGCCCAGAGCCTGCACCATGAGAGCTGCTTCAGGCCATTGTCCTTCAGGGAGTCGCTGCTGCAACCGCCTCTGCAAAACCAACCATGTCACTCGAGGGGGCTGTGGCTCTCATCCAAGATCCCCGGTCTTGGAGAAGCTGCTGGTTTCTGGAGGATTTCCCACCTTTTCATAGTTTCTAGGGTCGGAAGGGACCTGAGAAGATCATCTAGTCCGACCCCCTGCCATGGCAGAAAAGAGTATTGGGGTCAAACGACCCCAGCAAGGTGTTCATCTAGCCTCCTCTTAAAACCCCCAGGGTAGGAGCCTGCACCACCTCTCTTGGAAGTTGGTTCCAGACCCTAGCCGCCCTGACCGTGAAATAGTGCCTCCTGATGTCCAACCTGAATCTCCCCTCTGCCAGCTTATGAACGTTGTTCCTGGTCACTCCTGGCTG